TCGCGTGATTAGTATGCTAATTGTGTTGCTATGAATGACGATGTATATTGATATGCTACTCCAAAAAATGCTTAATGAAAAAAAGTTTTCGTATTTCCATTCTAAAATATTATTTTTATGAATTTATGTCAGGAAAACTACGGTTGTCGTCTAAGACGAGGATATTTAGCTCTCGACCCGGGTAACTGTCTACTTGAAACTCGTGCGAGCTCCTTTACCACCGTAAACAGTTACCATTGCGTTAAATATTCCGGTCTGTATCGACAACCAGTGTAAGCTTCTTGTACGAACAAATACGCATATTGCATATTGTATCTGCAGTATTATGTGCTGGCACAATAACACATATATTTACATGAGAAATATGTCCGCTTATGAACAAAGAAATTATCGAATCATTATTTCAAACCGTGACAGGAATAACCGTTTCAGATTCAAATGTGACATTACATAATATAGATTTACATCATCGAGAAGTTTAAAAGTAAGTTTTTTTCTACATTAAATGTTATGAAATTTGCAACAGTGCATGTAAACTTAATATAAAACGTTTTTTTTGCAACTTTAATTATCGACATGTTATGGTACAATTCTTATCATATAACATCAGACAGGAGATTTGATAGTTCACACTGGTGCCAGAAAAAAATAATAATACATCCCGTTGCCGGCTTTAAATGACGTCATTCCCTCGCACCTTTTATAAATTAATTGGTGCTTAGGAAAATTAGGATGACTTCTTTTCACCTTAATGAATGAAGTTTTGAATTCATCAAGACTGATCAAAAGATACAGGACCAAACACTTGCTATTACCATACGGGAATATCAAGCTTACTGGTAACTGTTAAGAATAGTGTTGTTACGTTTAGGCTACAAACCGGTATTCCGTTCTGTACCGAAAGTCGGTGAATAAGTATTGAAGTGTACCGTTATCAGGTATGCTTACCATTTTAATTTTGTTGTTTTGGTTTCATTTATACTCACTGTTTAAATGATTTCATATGAGTGCGACTATAATACCGTCGATGGCGTCCGTTTTCAAGCTGTCTGTTCTGTTGTCCGTAGGCTGGGGCCTGCCATTGTCAATGATGAAAAAGTATCGAGGTGACAAGGCTCTTCTCTTTTTCGAAGTTAGTCATAACAGCTTGTACTTAGGATGAATGTGGGAATAACCTGCAATGAGCATTCTATGCGACGTACACGCTTTGGGGTAATGCACACAATTACAAAAGTATTTATACTGCTATTGCTGTTGTAAACCGTTATTAATGTATGTTTCCCGTTTTCTGGTTTGAGGACCGTTATAGTCTGATTTTATTGACCCGTCAATTATGAAAAATTAAATATTCGATCTCACATCGATTTTGTCCGTGTCGTTCACGAAAATTAATATGGAGTATATAACTACTGTTTTGAAGGTCACACCAGCTTAAGGTAATGCTCATTGACGTCTGCGGTTTGATCCCTACTGTTGCCATTGTTTTAGAACTTCACTTTTTTGCAGTATATTTTAATGGAAATGGCCGAGTGCTTGCATAATTGTCTTCAGAGGTATGAAACAACTGAGAAACATTGTTTTGTGTCGATTTGTAATTGTGTTTTACGGCATTAAAATGACATTAACTGATCTTAATCCGAATGAATTTTAGTTATAAATTATTAAACGAGTATAGACTTAACCAACACAAGCCCGAAACATATTGAAATAAAACGAACAACATAAAACAATCATAGATCAAAAATGTTGAAGATATAAAAAGAAAACATGGACCTACGCACCGATGACGTACGGGGTCTAGATCTTACAACACGTGACACGTGGGACAATTAGAAATTACCAACCCGTGGTGTACCCTATTAGCTATAACGCGTAGTGCAATAAAATCGCAGATAAAAATTAAATTAACTCACATCGTACAACGTACATCTCACATACCATCGAAGATTATATTATCTCTATCATGCACTATTCGATACGGAGGGTAGCCGACGGGAGTGCTTATTTGCAAAAAAAATACGCTAACAATTCCTATAACCATTCGTAACTGAAGGATAAACTAATGCACACATTGAACTGTACCGTACACGCCTATATATTCTTGCATAGATAGGAGTTTTACTGTTTACATCAATGCTGGAAAAATAATTACCCCCATAGTGTACAGCTCAAACCGGTGCTAGAGGGGCGTAAGGGATGTTGCACTTTAAGTTATCTCTCATGTACAGACACAATCAAACCGAATCTGTTATTTGTATTTTGTTTTCATTAATGTCATTTAATCATCCTATTTTCCAGAATTTTTAATGACTAAATTATATCGCGTGATTAGTATGCTAATTGTGTTGCTATGAATGACGATGTATATTGATATGCTACTCCAAAAGATGCTTAATGAAAAAAAAAGTTTTCGTTTTTCCATTCTAAAATATTACTTTTAAGAATTTATGTCAGGAAAAATATGGTTGTAACTGTCTACTTGAAACTCGTGCGAGCTCCTTTACCACCGTAAACAGTAACCATTGCGTTAAATATTCCGGTCTGTTTCGACAACCAGTGTAAGCTTCTTGTACGAACAAATACGCATATTGCATATTGTATCTGCAGTTTTATGTGCTGACACAATAACACATATATTTACATGAGAAATATGTCCGCTTATGAACAAAGAAATTATCGAATCATTATTTTAAACCGTGACAGGAATATTCGTTTCAAATTCAAATGTGACATTACATGACATAGATTAACATCAACGAGAAGTTTAAAAGTAAGTTTTTTTCTACTTAAAACTTAAGAGATTTGCTACAGTGCATGTGAACTTAAGGTAAGGAAATTTTTACAACTTTCATTATCGACATGATATGGTACATTATATAAGACAGGAGTTTTTACAGATCACACTGGTGCCAGAAAAAGTCATATTACACCCCGTCGCCGGCTTTAAATGACGTCATTCCGTCGCACCTTTTATAAATTAATTGCGTGTTTAGGATAATTTAGGATGACTTCTTTTCACCGTAATGAATGAAGTTTTGAATTCATTAAGACTAATCAAAAGATATATTATCAATCACTGGCTATTCCCACACGGGAATATCTAGCTTTTGGGTAATAGTTAAGAACATTGTTGCGGCCGTTAACAGTTAACTACATATTCCGTTCTGTACCGACAGTCGATGAAAAAGTATTGAAGTGTACCTTTATCAGGTGTGCTTACCATATTTGTTATTTTGGTTTCAATGATACTTACTGCCAAATGAATCCATATGAGTGTCGTAGGCGTCGGTTTTTTTCAAGCTGTCTGTTCTGTCGTCCGTAGGCCGGGCTATGCCTTCGTCAATGGTGTTAAAGGATCTAGGTGACAAGGCTCGATTCTTTTTCGAAGTTAGTCATGACAGTTGGTAATAAGGTTGAATGTGGGAATAACCTGCAATGAGCCTTCTGTGCGACGTACACTCTTTGTGGTAATGCGCACAATTATCGAGGTATTTATACTTTTGCTTTTGTTAATATATGTTTCCCGTTTTCTGGTTTGAGAACCGTTATAGTCTGATTTTATTCTCGTTTATTTTATAGCACTCGTTTAAATATTTGACCCAACTTCGGTTTTGTCCCTTACGTTTGTCGTTTACGAAAATGAATATGGAGTATATAACTAATGTTTTGAAGGTCACAGCAGCTTAAGATAGATCTCGTCATTACACCCGCAATAGCACAGTCGTTTAAGTAATTGCCTCATGTGCGAGAGGTATGTGGTTCGATCCCTACTGCTGCCAATGTTATAGACCTTCTCTTTATTTTTGCAGTATATTTTAATTTGCATAATTGTCTACACAGAAATGACATTGATGCACTCTCATTTTTTATCATGCACTATTCGGTACGGGTGGGAGATGATAACAGGAGTGCTTTTTTGCAAAGAAATACGCTAACCATTTGTTATTGAGGGAAGAGGATGGTCACATTTGCAATCAATTGGTTATCTACCTTCACTTATCAAATAATGTATGCTATTTGTTACTTAGAAATGTATATTATTTTTTGCAATTAAATGATTTACAGTTCTTGTTACATTGAAATCTACATTTTTCGAAATCGAGTGATTTACATTATATTTAGCGAGATATGTAGTCCTGTTGTTAACAATATGTATACGTTATATTGAACATTGCAGGATTTATATATACAAAAGTAAACAATTAAATGTTAGGTAGGTACAAAACTCTTTGCCGGGGCTCTGTTGATACCACTGGAATTTAATGGAAAATTATTAAGGCAGTATTCTGACAACGGAAACATGTAATGGTGCTTGCCAGAATTTAAAATTTTAGCCCGATTAGACCATACTATGCAAGTATATTACATGGGGTAAAAGGTCAACTAAATGACGTTTTTTTACAGTGTCTTTAAAATAGCATTCCGGAGTTTTTAAACTGACATTATCCGGATACGTTGACAGCACTTTTGCACAAATGACAACAATAAGCGATAAGTACTTAATAGTATCAACATATTAAGGCAGTTTCATTATATCTTCATGTTGAATAAGTTTATTTCATACAATCACAATACAAATGTAATGTAATATGTTATCACCATTTATCTACCTATGAGCATCTTATTAGACTAAGTTAAACACTAAGTTAAACTAATGATTAGGTGTATATATTTAAATTCTATAATCACTATGCTTTCAAGTCAACATCTGTATGTGAATCAAACTCCCGGGTATTTAATGATTTACTTTATTCATTAAGATCTCAAATACCTGCCGATTTTTTATTTTTGATATAACAGCGAGGAATCAGCAAAATTCGTGTTAACATAAAGGTACGTTCTAGAATAGTTCTCATTGTTCTATTTCTAAGAAATTCATGTATGTGAGATTTTTAAAGCTATGCTTTATTTCGTTTGAATCCGTCATCTACATGACAGTTTATTCTTTCATTGATGTAATTATTCAGAACCACAGGCTATTGCGTATGTGTCTGTTTGATATCTTTTCACAAAAGGATATTTAGTTAACTATTAAAACAAATAAGTAGGATTTGAAATAGTGTATAACATAAGTCGAACAATAAAATTAGGTTTTGTAAGAAATTGTGTGGAATTGTGATTCTTAAAATGTTTTAATTATTTACGATATTTTAGAAGATGGTTTCAAGAATACAAGTATTGAAGTATGTTGGTTTTGTGGTTGGCCTGGCAGCAAAGTTTGTAACAGGATCTATTTTTGTATTTAACGCATATCAAGATGCAATCAAGACAAATTTCAACTACACTCAAACTGAAGGTGACACATTTTTTATTATTTAAAGTAACGCACAAACGAATTTTGTCATTCTATTATACCTATGCTAAATGTTTTTGGTACTAAGCTGTATTATCTATCACAAAATATTTTTGTTTTCAATTATCCTCTGACTAATTACATGTTTGCTATTGCGATGACAGATTTTGGTTCAGATGCAGAGAATTACGTGGTGTATCACTGTCCTTCGTACGAATATTCCACACTCATCTGTGAAGAATACGTACTTATTTTTCACTGAAATCGTATGAGTGAAGTTAACGGTTTAACATAGCTTAGTGTTCGCAGTAAGATGTGTTTAGATATAGACCAAGTTTGTGTAAGACCGATACCCGAAATCGCGTAGGTTTATTATATTTTTTTAATATACTTTAAAACTTATTGAAGCTATAATTGTTTTATGTTTCGGTTTTGGTTTATTCTTCGGTTAAATTTATTGGATTTGGGTACATTGAATCAAAAACCTCGTATTCATTGTTCGTTTTTTAGCTCGACTTTTTTTTTTTGTTGAAATAAAAAAGAGGTATTGCTTTAGTCCTGGCGGCGTTGCCGTTGTCGTCCGCAAACTTGTACCTTGATCATACTTGGCCACAACAACCCTTTGGACAAGACCTTTCAGTGGACCACACTTAACTTGACCTTCATCCATAATTGACCTTGACCTTCAAGGTTAAATGTCAAAATTTTGCTTGTTCTTGCTATTATTGGCTGTAACTTTATTTTTTAATGGATTGTCTTCAAACTTAAATAATAACTAATAATATTCAAGGATAGCCCTTCAAAATAACCTGACAGACCTTAACCTTCACTCATAGATGACCTTGACTTTGAAGGTCATATTATTGAAATTTTCATTGTTTTTGCGCTGTAACTGGCTGTTACTTTGCTATTATTGAATAGATCGTCTTCATATTATAACAGAACATTCTTCAGGACAAGATCTTCAAGTTTATCGAACTCGAACCGACCTTGGCTCTTTAATGGCATATATGAAAGGATTCATACTTTGACAAAACTTATGTGACAAGACACACCGATTAAATTTATAAAAAGGAAACGTTAAGATTTGTTCAAACGTTTCTTCGTTTGCTTTTAGAAAAAGTAAAAAGTCGAGCGTTGCCTCCGCCTTATGGTGGCTCTTGTTCCATTTAAAAAATGATATTGTCATTGTATCTTTGATCGGGGGATCATCCAATACTTTTATCTTACTGACTTGCGCTTTTATATAGTTAATCATCCTCCAATAACTATATTATATCAAGTAAATGAAGCATCTTCAACACTGATGTAACAGTAATAGATACCACTTTAAATTTCTTTCAGTTGAGTTATTAGCATCTATGCTGAACGTAGGTCTTGGAATTGGATTTGTTCCTGGTATATTTTACGACAGATTTGGTCCCACGCTGACATCTGGAGCTGGTCTGATTGTTTCGGTTCCTGTGTATCTGCTTATTTGGAGTACAGTGAAATATACTGAGTTTTACAGCAAACGTATTTGGCTAATGGCTATATATTTTTTCTTAGCAGGTCAGTATAGTGATGAACTCTTTCATATCAAATGTTCAGTTTTTCTTATTAACAAGCGTAGTAACAGTTCTGTCTACCATCGAATGGTACGGATGTTCCTAACCACAACACAAAACAGATTATCTCAAGCTATCGGATCTATCAAACACCGATACAAGAATTTAGGAGCCAGACCGTGAAATTGTCATTAGTCTACATAACACATATAAGTCTTATTAAATAAGGTTTATGATCCTATTTAGGATAATCCGCCCATTTATGGTTTTCACGTTTTCTGTTTGCAAACGTTCGTGTTAAAGAAAATTCACCAATTGTCAAATGCACGGGTCCATAAAAGCACTCTTATGAAAGTTTATCATGCATATTGTAGTTATGGGGAGTAAGGAAAAAAACAATCCTGCAAGTTTTCATTTGGCTGAATTTGTGGACCCTTTTTCAAAATTTTGTTGACGCGTGAAATTGAAATTAACATGTTGCTCTACACTCATCATTTTATCCCTTTTCAGGATTCGGGTCTGTATTCACCTACATGGTAGCATTGAATACGAACGTAATCAACTTCAGTTCGAAACACACGGGGAAAATTGTCGGTTTTTTAAATGCTTTCTTTGCCGGAAGTCCGTCAGTTTTTGCCACAGTTTACTACAATCTCTTTACTACTGGAGATTCGACTATTGCAGAAAATCAGGATTTTGCAGGATTCATGTTGTTTTTTGCTATATTGTACGGCATTGTTAATATTTTCTGTATGATTTTCCTTCGAATTTACAAAGATGATGTAAAAGATGAAGATGTTTTCATAACATCTTATAAAGATAAGAACGGGATAGTTTTAGATGAATTAACAGTAGCTGTTAATGGAAATTCTAAACATCATGGAGATATGGAAGAAACAGATTCCGACCCCGGCACAAACAGCCAACCATATTCAATGAAACAATTAATGTGTAATTTAAACTATCATTTATTTATCTGGATGTTCGCGTGTGCATCATGTGTTGGTGTGGTCTATGCAACAAACCTGACCGTGACGTCAAAATCGGTACACTTAGACAAGTACAATGATAAACTTACAATAATTATTCCCATCACTAATGCAATTGTAAGTGCTAGTATAGGAATAGTTTCAGATATATTTAAAGAGAAAGTTCCTAGGTTAGGTATAGTTATTATAGGATGTGGTGCATTTAGCATTTCTCTTGTAATTGTTTTGTTGTTTGCGGATAAATATCCACTGTTCATTGTAGCCACGGTATTTACTGGTATTGGGGTAGGTATAATATGGAGTTTATGCCCAACAATTATGAAAGAATTGTTTTCAGTGGAACATCTTGGAAGAAACTGGGGCACATGTTTGCTTCTCTCCGCAATTGTTTCGTTTGGTGCACAAGAAGTATTTGGCCTTCTGTATGATGAGCACGTACCAGAAGACATGCGGAATAGCTGTTATGGAATGAATTGTGTTCAGGAAGGGTACGGAGTATTTGTTGGGGTGTCGGTTGTGGGTTTAATTTTAGGTGCTATTATCTTGATACGCAAAAGGTGTTGTAAGCGTTTGTCTGCAACAGATAAAATGGCTTGAATGCAGTCTGTAAAGCATAAACGTTCAGAAAAAAGGAAAGCTAGCTAATCTTTTTTTACGCTTGTTTGAAAAACGGGTTAAATTACAGCCCCCCCCCCCCGATGGGCCTCGTCTCTGGATCTCTGGGTCAAAGGTCAAAGTCACACTGGTGTGAAACATATGATTTAGGTTAATGTATGCAAGGTCAATGTCACTAAAGATGATAGTCAAGGTCACTAAATATGATAAAATATAGAGATTTTGTCCAAAGCAGATCTCTTACACATATGGAATGGTTCTAATGAAACTTCATTCAAATGTTCATCACTTTAAGAAACAAAGTCATGCGCGTTAACTAAGTCTTCGGGTCAAAGATCAAGGTTACACTTAGAGGTCATTGAAAAACACTTTCCAGAGTAGAACTACTACATGCATAGAGGGATTTTAATATAACTTGGCACAAATGTTCACCATTTTAAGGCGTAGTGCCGCGTGTAAAATTTAGGTTCCTGTGGCCAAGGTCAAGGGCCACGGGGACCATTTGTCATAATTAATTGATGAATTGTAACACAAATGATAACTATCATGACTACAAGTGTGATACATGTAATTTAGTTTAATATTTGCAAGGTCAAGGTCACTAGAGATGATAAACTATCCAGATATCTTCCGGATACTGCCCATAGCATATCTCCTATATGCATATCTATAACGCCCACATCTCAGTCAAAAGCTTTTGTTACGGGCGTATTTTGCGATAATGTTGCCCTTGTTGTGGTTTAAAATGATAAAACATTATATTAACGGATGCTAAATGGCCTACCAGAATTACATGTAATAACACATTCCAAGTTTTTCTTTATAGAAAAGGGGAAATTAAATTTGAGGAAAATTTTCATAAAGATATTTCGAAGGAGACCAAATAAAAACGCTGCCAAATATGAAACGTTACCTGGTACCAACTTTAGTAACCATTTATTCTTGAAAGGAAGCTATAGACCAAAATTGTAAAGATAGATGACTCGAAAGCAATTAAGACCACAAACCTAAATGAAAGTGTTAGACAAGGTTAGTTGGGCCTATTCACGAGATATAATGAAAAAGGTACAATATCGCTCTCGTACCTAAGCACCTGCTTCTTTAATACTGCCTATGCCTGGGAGACTAGAAACATATCAAAAGATTGACACTAATTCCGGGATAAAGAAAAATGCTTAAAAGTTTTTTTTCTAGTTCTTCTAAACGCTGTTAGAATTTATTTGAACAAATATCGGTTTGGAGTATTTGGAGCAGACCTGGGGATGATTACATTGATCAGTAATTGATTAAATTACAATTACTTTCAGATTTTATTGTAATTGATTAAGATTGATTACTCACATTTGCTTCTGTAATCAATTGAATTACAATTACTTTTAAGAGAGTAATTGATTGATAATTGATTACATTGAATGTACATTAAACCACCCCAGAATTAAGACCACCCTGCTATTAAGACCATTTTTAAAAAGATTCTTTAAGTCAATGGTTTCATGATCCAGATTTAACCACCTGCTTATTCACTTTTAAGACCACCATTATTAGTCTGTCCAAATTTTTGTTTTAATTTTAATGTGACTATTGAGACCACTGATATTGAAGTCAACACCTATCTAGATTATGATCTGCTTGAATGCTCTTTAGCATGACACTTGATTTCACAAGGTGTGAAAAACTGTTATTGGGTTATTGTATGAAATTAGGTGAGACGGTCAATTTTAGAGTGGTACATTGTTGCTTTCAGCACATTTATTTTTTGAAAATTTAAATTTTCATTTGATTTATGTACATCATATAATAAGTGATACTGTAAAATTAACGTCAAATTTCTCCAGAAATATGTTTGTTTTCCTTTCATCAGATTAAATATCAAAGCATTCTTTGATAGTTTCTTTTATAATGTATTTGTAGATAATGTATTTGTAGATACATATAAATAAACATATTGTTTATTCATACAAAATGACTAAAGTAGACCATGGTCTTAAAGTATGTAAGCAATGATAAGAATGTTCACTTTTATCAGTCTAATGTGGATTTTTACTGTATAACTAAAAAACAAAGGTTAAACTGTATAATGTAAAATAAAGGCATCATTTGAACTTTAATAGTTTCCTTTTAAATCTGAAAGTAATCAATGTCAATCAAAATGTAATCATAATTACTGACTGCATTTAAGCTGTAATTGATTTATTACAATTAATGTAATCAATTTTGGACAAGGTAATCAATTACATGATGATTACAGTGTAATCATGTAATCAATTACAAAATCAATGATTACAGTTAATGATTACCCCAGGTCTGATTTGGAGGACATAAGGATGCTACACAGCGTGTAATGGAATTCTATTTAGGACAAGGAAGGATATATTTTGTTTAGTGTAATAAAATAGATAACTAAAATACTAGCGTGTTATTTCTTATAGAAGTTTATTCTCTTCAGTAACTACGGAAGAGAGAATTGTTCCTCCCTCATAGAACATAATACTCATTCATAATTTGAATCTGAAAGGCATGATTAACACTTTCAATTATGTTTAATGACATGCAGATACATGTTTACGAAACTCTTAACGAATTTCATATCATAATGGTCGGCATATCAGAATAATGATGATAACCTATGCTGAATTCAAGCGTTTAGAAAACTTTAAATTCGTTCTTTGGTACAAGGGTTATATGCGAAGTTGTCCATACGTTTGTGGAACAAAAAGGAATTTGTTTCCAACAGCAGTATTTATGGTCCTATGTTGGGGGTGCGTTTATTGCATGCGCCCTTCCTCGTTAATCCTGCTTTTCATATTTAATACAAAACGCCAAATTTTCGAAAGCTTTATTATTTAAAGCAGGACGAATCCAGATTCACGTTGTCAGATATATTTAGAAGGCAAACCGAATTTGTTTCAGACCACAACGTTCACAGGGCTATCCGTCTTTAAAAAATGATATAAAAAAATAAATAAATAATCGGTTTCTAGATGAGTACTCTTTAATACTTATATTGAACGCATAATTTCATGTAACATCATAGAATACAATTCAAATTTGAGTTTGGCTTCATATCACCAATTATTGTGACGGAAATGTACTTTATAGTTGATTTGATTGCCTCCCCTTTTTATAAGTTCGCCGTTGGCATCCAAAAAAAATACAATTCATTCGTAAATTTAATTACTATTCATTTCAACTTTGGGGGGCAAAGTTAAAGGGGTCCGGGCATTTATTATAATGTTTATTTTTCTGGATGTAATATTATGCATTTCGTTCCTCATGTATATCATGTAATTTATCAAAAATGTATATTATGTAATTGTTTAAATCTTCACTTTGAACAGACGACTGTTTTAAATGAAACATTGTATTTGTGTTTTTATCATTTCAACTGCTTTATAGTTACTTGTATTAGATACAGGTCTAATTCATATTAATTCATAAAAGTACAGATAATTATATTATACTGGTCTAATTAATATTACTTCTTAAAATTAGAGATAATGATATTTTTTTTTCACTATACATTTTTTAGATTTTCAACTGCAATTCCAAATTACTATTTTAAGAATTTAAAAAACAAGACAACAATCTAAAAAGGTAGATAAGTGATAAGATTTCTTACAACTTGTCAGTGTTACTCTAAGGTGACACTGATTGGTGATAATTGATCTTATTTTGAATTCCTTGTTTACTCACAATAATTATTATGGAAATTTACTTCAAATGACAGACGTTTAAAAGGTTTAATTAAAATCAGTTTCAAGAAACGTTTTATTATTCTAGCCAATCAAAATCATTGTTTAAATTCACTGCGGAGATGATGCTTCACAAGCATATAAATAGAGCGTATCCTTCCCCCATTCCCTCGGGTCAGTAAGCATAGGCACACAATGTGCCTAGTTAGGCAAGTGTTATAAAAAAATTGAAAGATGCTGCTCGGAGGCCCCTTTTTGCTTTTTCATCTTTCCGGAGGCAGAGGGCGAAGACTCAGCGCTAACACATCACGATTCAGGTAAAGTCCCCCGTTGGTTCCTTGTCCCGTTGGCGAAGGGTTAGGTAAAAACGAAGTCCAGTATAAATATTACTTATCTGGTACACGCACAAAATCGTCAGATAAAACCGGAAAAAATTGTACAGGACGTTTAAATGATTTCTGTTAAATTCCTTGGGCATAAATTATTTAAGAAATATATTTTTGTTTAGTTTTGGTTTAGCCCCGGACCGTTAAGATCGAAGTTGTAATTACATATACTAGTATCCAGACATTTTAGATATCTGGTACTAAAAACATCTTTGCTTCTTCAAGAAATATTTTATGAGTTAAAAAGTTAATCTGCCTGTTGTCCCTGTAAGAGTTGGATATAATGTAATATTGTATTTACTAGTACCCAGACATCTTTAATATCTGGTGCTAAAAATACTGTACTGCTTAAGTAAAACCTCTTTGACAAATGTTTAATAGAGAATAGTTTATTTTGAAGATACTATTTTAAAATTTGATTTTTGAACGTTTATTTGTGATAAGAGATTGTTGATTTGAAATATTAAAGTAAAAAATAAGAGAAAGGTTTAAGAATATAAATTTTAGTTTGGTTGACATTTAGTGTGAATAGAGTTTAATTGCTTCTTGAAATATATTTTTTAGATGATTGAAGAATTAGTTTCAGATTGTTATTTTGCAATTTATTATTTCTGGAATTATTTCTTTATAAGTTGATATCTTATCAAAAGGTTAAGAAACCACAAGGAAAATTTATATTTGAATATTTCAAATCATTCCGGATAAGTATCCCAAGAAAATTATATATTTGCATTTAAGAGTGTTAAGAATATTTGGATTTATTTTGTAGCAATATAAAATCGTTCGGTTCACGCTACATTATTATAGAGTTATGACACCTCTTTTCTCATGCCGTGGCGCATGTATATAGACGCTTTATTGCATCATAGTCAAACTTACGAGATAAATGAATATGGTTGCATTGGTGAATGTATGTGGTCACTCATACGTGAATGTGTTATGCGGTATGTATATGTGTTTGCACTGATGAGTATATGTCGTCCGGTCGCATTGGTACATATATATGGTGGC